CAAACGCATAATCTTTTTTTTTTTTTTAAAGCAAACACAAAAAGCACTTTCTTTTCTTTTCTTTTCTTTTTTTAACAAGAGTAATTTTAAATAAACACTTTTACCATAATATAAGGGATGAGAGAAAAAATTTTAAGAAATTAAACATTTTCCTTCTAGCAGGCAAGTGAGCAGCCACCAGCCCGAATGTGCGGAACCACAAAAAGTGCTTTCCTTCCCAAAAGAATGAGAAATAAATATGTTCTTCCCAATCCTCTTTAGTGGCTCTTTTCATTTGTTGGGTTTTTCTAATATAAGTGTAAGGTTAAAGGGTTTTTTTAATATATGTATAGGAACGTAATAAATTTATGATAATGCTTAATGCATAATTAAAAGAACCTATAATTAAAAAGAATGAAATTCAATTATAAACTTTCAAATAATGAATTTCAAAGGAAATCATTTTAAAACTGAAATGAATCCTATCTCATGAAGGACCAAAAAGCACACCTACCGGATATGAAGGCTTCAGCAAGCCATGTCGATCGGACTAAGATTAAGATCGTGTTCTCCGGCCGTTCCGGTGGGTGGGCTTACCCACCAACATCTTCAGGTGACCCCCTGAAGATCTGGCAGGATGGCAACCACTTAGTTGATACCTCCTTAACATCTCTCATGAACGCCAGACCCTCGGCCAACCTCACCACGGTCACTCCCCTTCACGTCGCTCGCGAAATTTTTGAGCGTTTCTTTTAGCCTTCACCATCATTTGAAGGTGAATTGGAATGCACCATCTTGTATGGAATTGAAGAGTATGACCTGGGAAGAACCATCTTATATAGGTATGAAGAGGCTTTGTTATGCTGGTGGTGGAAGTCTATAACTAGTGAATCTGAGGGTACTATATTAAAATGTAAATCTGAGGGTACTCTGAAATATTAAAAAGAAAATCTGAGGGTACTCTGGAATATTAAAGAGTAAATCTGAGAGTACTCTGGACTATGAGAGAGTAAGTTCCCAGTTTAGCATCTTATTAAATTAACACATTGTTCACACTACAAGAATATCCACTTTTAGTGACTAAATTATTGGTCATTAAATCTTTATTTTTCATCACAAATTATTATTAGTGACAAAATTTAAATCGTTAATAAAACCCTTGTCACTAATACTCTTAGTGATAAATTAAGCACCTGTCATTGAAAATAATCTTATAGTGATAGAAAAAATTAACATTGTTAACAAGTTATTTATAA